CTGTACTGGACTGTAGCTCCTATTGTAACAGACTGTTCTCCTGTACTGGGACTGTAGCTCCTATTGTAACAGGACTGTTCTCCTGTACTGGACTGTAGCTCCTATTGTAACAGGACTGTTCTCCTGTATTGGACTCTAGCTGGGACTGTAGCTTCTATTGCAAGAAGACAGATTTGCCCAGTTAAGTCAAAATGTAACGCCTTTCTAAATCAAATAAATCGATTACTACCTATGAGTGCTGGTACATTGCCATGTGATTGCATGTAAGTCAATGTACTTTTGCAGGTGCGTCTGCAGGAGGACATATTTATCTACCACGGTAGACGCAGGTATTGGCAGCGAAAGATGATTGGCTGGGCGAGATGCAACATGAATCCCCCCCCCCCCGCACGAGCTTGCCGGAAGTGGTTGAGTCACCTCCTGGAAGAGGACCAAGCACGTGGTGTGATACAGCGATAAGAGTCGCTCGTTGTGAGCGCGTCCGGTCACTGAGCCGGAGGACCTGGAGACGGGCGGAGGGTCGGAGAGCGTGGGTCTGTCCGCGGAGCGAGTCGCGCGTTTCGTCAGCTGCTTGTTGGCGTGTTTTCTGCGACGAACGCACCTGTTCTCGCTGGGCGTTATCGTTAAGCAAAATGCCGTTTTATTTTCTTTAAAAGAGAGCAGTCAAGACATTTCGTGTTTTTTTTTTTTCATAGGGTCGAGTTTGTTTTAAAATATGCGCAGGTGGTGGGCTGTGTTCGCCATTCACGGCCGCAGCTCCGAGCGGCTGAACCTGTTCCTGTGCGGGAGATCCATGTGATTTACAAGGCCGGTGACGACGGCCGTCTGTTCAGCGCCGTACGCGATGAGTAGCGCTGTGAGGGGGGAGAATTCAGCTGCTTGCTCAGGGGAATCGCCGTAGTTAATTTTGAGGAGCGCTCGGCTGTTTGTTTAGGCTAGGTGGTGAGCCGTGTCCACGGAGATGTTCATTATTTCTAGTGTGTCGAGACCGCAGAGCGCGGAAGGGCACGCGCTTGCGGGAGCGGCGGGAGTTCCTCACCCCCTCCCTCCCTCGCGGATTTCAACATCCTTACTGCTGCTGCTGGGTGATGTTCCGCTGATGTTTTGCGTTTTTTGTTAGCGGTTTAGCGTGGGGGGGTCCCGTAACCAAGTTTTCGGGGCTGTAGCCGATCTGGTTTAAGTGCACGAGGCAGCTCGCGCGGCTCGTGGAAGCGTGGGGGGGTGGATCCGCGAGCGATCGACTTCCACCTGGACTGGAGGAGGGAGGACTCGGCGGCTGATGGGGGACCAAAGGTAAGAGTGCAGGCAAGCAGGCGTGTGCGGGGCGGGAGGGAGCTGGCGGTGTCTCTCGGACACAGGGCGGTAATAATGGAGAGCGCAAGGCAGGGGGGGCAGGGGGACCTCGCCTTGACGGAGCCCCTGCCGTCCCTGAGCTCCAGCAGCGAGTCGAAAAAAACCCGGAAAGGCGGACAGCGGAGAGGGGCGCTGGCACGCGGGGCGCCCCACGCGGCGATACCGAAACCGCGTGGCCGCCGCCGCCCCCTCCCCCCCCGCAGGCCGAGAATCTCTTGAGTAGAGCCCGGGTGAACTCGTGTATTTCGATGTTCCAGTTTTACCTCTCGTGTGGGTGTTGATGGAAACGGGGACCGTGCAGGAGAAGCGCTTTGTTCCGACGCTTCTGAGACACGGCGGCCGAGGCGTGTCCTCAGGTGAGGTCGAGAGGTTTGAATCTCGTCCTCTCTCCCGCGTCTTGCTATCTCAGAGCGGCGGGGCAGGAGGGGTTTAACACAGGCCCGCGTGGGTGAGAGCGCGCGAGCCCGCGCCGCGGCTCCGTCACGTGCTTGCCGCCCACGTGGGTGGGGATAGCGACCCCCTGCTGGGGGCGGCTGGGACAGCGGTCGGTGTTAACGTGCTTATTAGTAAAAAGCATTGATGCCAGCTGCTGCATCACCCTGCAGCACCACTGGAGCTCAGCAGGAGTGAGTCTGGCCAGAACCTGGATGGGAGACTCCTGGGAAAGCTAAGGCTGCTGCTGCGAGAGGTGTGAGTGGGGCCAGTAGGGGGCGATAACCCTGTGGTCTGTGGGGGTCATAATGCCCCAGGACAGTGACGGGTACACTAGACTGTAAACAGGCGCCGTCCTTCAGATGAGAAGTTTAATGGAGGTCCCGGCTCTCTGTGGTCAGTAAAAATTCCTGAGCGTTTCTTGAAAAGAGAAAAACTGGAGAAATATTAGATTCTTTCCCAGCCTGTACTTATTTAATTGTACATCGCATTAGTCATTACAATTAATTACAGTGACTAGTGAGCAGGAAGGGCTGCACGCAATTAGTGGGGATGAGGATGTGAGTTTTCATCAACATGGTGACTAACAGCACTGCCACGAAGGTCAAAATTTTGTGCTTAATTCGAAGTCGGTCAATCTTTCCTATCGCATGGATGAGCGTTGTTGCCGAGATGTAATAACCGCTCAGCTTGCGCTGTGGTCAGGCCCGAGGTGATGAGTTGCAAGTGAGTCCGTGTTTCACCTGAGTCTCGTGATTACACCCACTGCGCTGACGGGGCCTGGCCACCAGGGGGCGCTGTGTGCGCTGCAGCTGGGGGGGCGTGGCGAGTTCTGATCCTCTGCCTTTCTCTCTTCCCTGTCGCCTCTCGCAGCCCTGGGACTCCTCCCTCCCCCGTTCCAGAGCCGGACCTCCGACCTGCAGGTACGTACTGGCGCCTCTCGGGGTTTGGGGGTGCGGGGTTTGGAGGGGGGGGGGGGGTCTGTGTCTGTGGGGGGGTGGAGTCGAAGCTCCTGCAGCTGAGCCGTGATGAGTTGCATGTCAGTCCGTGTTTCACCTGACTAACCCGTGATTATGATCATGCGCTGAGCCAGTCTGCGGAGCAGCACCCAACTGGGGGACACCTGAATTTAAAACCGAGAGTAGGAGGCTGCTCTTTACGCAGAGGGTGGTGGAGGTGGGGAACAAGCTGCCCAGTCATGTGGTTGAAGCCGATACCCTGGCTTCTCTCCAGACACAGCGGGATGAGATCCTGAGAGCAGTGGGTCTAGTGCAGACTGTGGGCTGGTTTCCCCTCCTGAGCTCTACTGTCCATCCTCTCCTCCTGCAGGTCTGACCCCTCCTCTTTCCTGGTCCGGGGGCAGCTGGCTTTGGACGAAGGATCTGTGGGCCAGGTGTCCTTCTGTGCACCACAGACATCCTAGCGACCTGGCGTCTCCGTCCCAGTCCAAAACGGTTGGTTCAGTTCGCCTGGGGTTCCGAGCCGGACTCGGACCTGAAAGAGCTGTTCTATTCTTTTACAGGCAGCGATCAAAACTCCCAGGGGGAACTGTCGCAGTCTAATATTTTCAGAAACCAACATCATGAATCGCTGTTGATCGTGAACTAGATTTCAATAATGACACACAATTACATCTTTCAAATCCATTTAGAACGGTGTCCAAGAGAATCATTTCAAATTGTTAGATAATCCACTAACCAGATTCCTCATAAGGGTCTACAGACGTCGAGGAGTGACAATCAGTTTCTCTTTTATGGAGTAAAAGAATCTATATTTTTCTATTGGAACAAAGGGGTTTAAAATGAGCAGTTAAAAATTAAACTGGTTCTGTGTGCCTCTTTGCTTTCCTCCTCTACTCTTAATCCTGATGTAATTGTGTTCCCAGCTGATTTAATTGTTGGAAATAAACAAAGGTCAAGTGTTACCTGGTGTCCTGTCCTGTCTCTTGAGTGTGACTGTGTGCAGTATCTTGAGCCACAGGGTGGTTATTTAGGTGAAGGGGGCTGCAGCTCATGTCCTCCAGTGCCCTGTCGCAGTGTGGGGTGTTGGCCAGAGCGCCCCCTAGTGGTCCTCCAGCACTAGGTCTAGCTGCAGCCCGCCTCTCCTGGAGGGAGGTCTCCTGTAACAGGACTGAGTTGCCCCCACTTGCCTGCTGGGCTTGGGAGCAGAGAGGGGATCCCCAGCCCTGGTACTGGGGAGCCCTGGTCCAGTTGAGTCTTGTGGCGATGACACTGAAAGGGAGAGAGGAATGGGGTTTAGTTGGAGATGGAGATCTGAATTGCTGTTCCTGAGGCGCCTCTCCGTCAGCCGACATGATCAGCAACCGGTCGAGTTCAAGCGCAGGATCACGAATGACAAGAACTGTGACACAGAGAGACTCCCTGTCAGACAGAAAGATGGGACAGACGTGCAGCCCACTCTGATAGGAAGTGAGGCTCATTTTAGTCTACTGACCCAGAAATACACATGATGAAAAGACGACCTATGAATAAATCAAAATTACTTCCACTTCTCTTTATTGGTGGAAATCGCAGAAATTAACGGAATTGTTTCATCTTCAGATGAACTTCTCAAAAGATTCTCCCGGGTGACAGGCGGGGATACTCACCCCTATACTAACGAGGAGCGGGAGCTGTTTCCTCTCAGACACCCGGTGTCCATACGGGTTTCATTTCGATTATCTTCAGAAACGTGTTCTCAGCTGTGGTACCTCTAC